TTTCTTTTAGCACAATTGCTCCGCAGATTTAGCAACCCCGATCAAAAACTATACCCTTGCGATTACGGTATCAAAGTCCGACAATGGTTCTGCTGTTCTACCCATCACCAATGCTATTAAAAAGTTTACTGTAGATAAGAATGGATACGTGGGTAAAATGAATAATGTCTTTGATGCTGTGGACACCTAGAACCCAGTGATGGCCGTCGAAACATGTGAAACACAAATAAATTGTAGGGTACTACAATAAATTCCATCAGTCTCCTGCTTTAAGTCTTCCGCGTTTGGTGCTAAGCGACCTATATCAACACACAACAGATATGCAAAATCAAGAATGTCATCCAGTCGCTTGTGAGCTAACAGTATGTGATCTATCTCATGGAAGGTGCCAAAATTTACGGAACTGCTAATCACTCGCAAACCAACTTAAAAATGGACCAAGCTCTTTTAATAGTATTGAACGAATTTAAGAGAATTTAAACAAATTTAAAAATTAATATTACTTTGGTTCAAAATCCAGGTTTTTGTAAAATACGGAACATCCCAAAAGCGCCAAATATAGTTGTTCCTAAGTAAATGTAAGTTTTTCTTTATGAACATATAAGCTGTCCATGCGAAAACCGAGTACGTAAAACAGCACAAGTAAAAAACCCCTAACAATAATCCTTTGCTGAAGTCTGAACTCAAAAAGTCATCAAGAAGAAGTGTTATGTCAGGTGTGGTACTCAGCCAAAAACTTTTTGAGCCTAAATGCCAACACTTCTTCGCAAGAATTGACTGTGTTTCTTCTGTTTTTACACCTTTTGAGATGCAAGTGCCTTGCTTTCGCCGATAGAGACGTCACATGTTGATAGGCCGGTAGGAGGCCCCATAATCTTAATAAAATTGACAGGTGCAATGGATAAATAAATGGATAAAGGAAATTACAGTGTCAGATCACAAGCATGCTATTTCGTGCATAAAAAGTAAACCCTCCTTTAGTTAATTTCCTTACAGTTATCTCCGGTGCCGAAATACGATGAGTATCAGATCATCTTTGAAATCACAGCGAATACTTCACGATTGCCCGTGAATGAGAATTCTCTTCTATATCCTGATCAAAACTTCTGGGATAAGATACTTCATTAAAGCACTTACCTACTAAGTGGGTTCTCTGACGTTAGTTCTTATGCAGATGGCTGTTGAGGTCATGTGTATAGGTTCATCCAGACATAAAATATCATCATGGAAAGAATGGATGTCCCGAAGAAAGTCAACAACGAATATGCCTTAGACCGAACAGACTGATTTCATCAAAAAAATTGATACCTTTTTAGAGTTAAATAAGATGTTGATCTAATTTATGATAGATTTCTGCACTGTCCTGAAGATGGGTGGCAATTTTTCTGCTGCGCGTAAAAGAACTCACTTTTTGTTTTTATTGGAGCCTTTTTTGTTATATTTGTTTGATATTCCGCTGCGCTAGTCTACCGCATGTTCCGTTTCCAAATTACCCATTAGGCGAAACTAGACCACATAAAAGGCGTTGCTCCGTGCGTTTAAGAGGCAGCACAACCATTTTATGGAAAGTCGTTTAGCGGAGATGCACTGAATATTCACAAAGGGTAGGAAAATATTCTAACGGTTGAACAAAGGAATGCTTTTAGGCTATATATACTGCACTATAGATTTTCATGCTGATTTGTCAAAATGAACGTTTTGAAAAATACTAAAACGTCTTATTTGCTAAAACATAACCTCTATTTGTGGTGACATAAATGGTGAAAAATCTGTTTTCAAGGGCACCAAGTTCCGCTTGGCAAAACGCACACTTTTAAACTACTCCATGCACATAAACGAACAAGCGCAAATGCGTAAACGTAGTGTAGGATAGCTATTAGTATAGGAAACCCCCGAATTACAAGGTCAGATGTTTCCATTTGAAGACGTGCGCGCAAAGAGTATATTTTCCGGAAAAGGCAGGGCAAATAAACAAAATGTGCAACATTTATTTTCCCACAGTTGATCGTCTTAATTTCTGTCATCGCGTTCCATGAGCCAGGTAACATACTGTAACGCAGTGATAAACCTAAATATTAAAAATTGCCAAATAGTGTGCAAAACTAACTGCAAAAGGAGTGTCCTACCCGTTAGCGTCTTGACGCCTCAGAGCATTTGTGAGATGTCCTCAAAAAGCGAGCATAGAAGGACAGTATGTGATGCCTACGTCCTTTCATCGCATGTGCAACATTCAGTATTTCACTCAAAGTCGTGTCAGCGTTTCCATGCCTATTTGCCTCAGTGAACTATCGAACATGATGGTCGAGAAGTCCTTGCTTACGAAATGCTGTAAGATAGGGTGTTGTGAGGAAACTAGGTGGAGTAAAAATCGCCTGTGAGGAATGGGCGATTCAAAATGCCAAGCCTTCAACGTGTAGTGTCCGGCATGGCAGGTGCAGGGGCAGTGGCCTACTTGTATATCAGTTTGTAGCAGTATTAGTCTTCTACAGCAATTGCTGCATAACCTCCTCTCCCATGCATTTGAACCCAGGGTCAGGATAGAGTCAGTAAGACAGAAGGCGGGGTTGGGCGCTGCATAAGAAAATGTGAAAAAAACCGTCTGCAGGTGCCACACGCGTCCGGGAAAACGGTATTATAGAAACAAAGGTTGGCGACTCGGCTTTTAGCCGAGTGGGAATGCCACAGAGGCCCTTCTCTCCGTCCTCAGAGGGCCGGTTTTCCATCCAGCCGTGGGATGGATTACATGCGACTAGCCAGTTGTGTTGACTCCGCCGATTACTCGCGGGGTCCGTTGTGGTATTGTTCACCGGAACGAAGAAACAACTCCAGGGTAAGGTAATAGCATACTAACAGCACAGATACTAGCCGAAAGCCTATACAATCGTGCTCTCTGGCAGATATTCCAATTTCGAGATGGTTGCTTTTTAATCTGCTTAGAAATTAACTGCGAAGTTGGAGTAGATCGGTTTAATCAAGGTCTATAGGCTCAGACCGAGAATTTTATACATGGATATTTGGCCCAAAGTCCATCAGCCACAGCGGGTAAAGGCGTATTATTCATTAACTGCCGACAGGTAGCTAATAGTATACATTAGGGTAAGGTCATACGATACTAACAGCACAGGTACTAGTGTGTATGTGCTTTTGACTAGTACCTGTGCTGTTAGTATGGTATGACCTAACTCTAAAGTATTCCACTAGCTGCCTGTTGGCAGTTAATGAATATTACGCCTTCACTCACTGTGGCTGATGGACTTTGGCCCAAATATTCATGTATAAAATTCTCCGTCTGAGCCTATAGACCTTGAATAAACTGATCTCTCCAACTTCGTAGATAACTTATGAGAAAATTAAAAAGAAGACAACTCTGTTTGTTTCTATGTCCCCACCAGGCTAAAACTGTTGGATTATAGCATTGCTACGAACCTAGCTGATTGGACTGATTGAATCCATGGTTTGGACGAAAAGGACACATGGTCAAGCAATTTAATCCGTAATTAACTTACATTAGAACGCTCAAAAGCGGAAACGAGTTACATCGAAGGACGTTGCATGTAGTGTTATTTTTTGTTGAACCAGTGTTTGAACTGATGAGCCAAAATGAATGTAACGACATCTGTGTAGGAAAAAATGCAGCAAAGGTATAAAAAGGCCTCCGCTATTCGTCCAATTCCTCCCAATATGGAAAACCATGACAGTTTCGTCAATTTGCGACGCATTATCAAGATCAGTACGTGAATGACCAAAGTGTTCTGCCGAATTTTTGAATTGTATTAGTTACGCTGGTCAATTGACATAAATCAGCAGCTCCCACGAAACGGCACTGTCGCTGCTGATCGTTCTTTTACAGAAATTTGCATCAGATCAGAGATGTCGAAGTTAGTTTTAATTTTTGAATACAGAAAACAGACAGCATACGCACTCTACAAAGCCCAAAAGGACTGCACAGAACCTGGAAGAGTATACGCTCTTCCCAAAGCAGCAAATTCATCATGCTTAAAGTGGTTCGAGCTGAAAAAGTTTAAAAGCGTGACGTAGAAATATGCAGTTTTTTTAAGATTACTAGGTAACCTGCGTGACAGATTGTGCTTCCCCACTGGCGCGGACAAATTTTGGGGCTATTTTTGGGACACTGCTGATGCAGTCTTCATTGTTCCAGGTTATTTCTGTTTGCTTTATAACCGCGTGGGCTGAACGCGATGCACGTGGTTCAGTGCCTGCTGAATTCGCTCGCTGGCGTCGCAAAAAGGCATCTGATGCAAATGCACAAACAGGCTCTAAGAATGAAATACTTTACGACATGTTTACACACAAAACCTCGACATTTTAAGTAAAGAGCTGCCGTGCCTCCGATACCAAAAACAGTCTTTTGAAGAGGTGTGGTTACACTTGGTAATTGCAACCCTAATTTTAGTAAATTAAAAAACATTAAGGTCAGGCTTGGAAGAAAAAACGATTTATGATGATGCAAAGCAAAACAATTCGGTACGTTGCAAAAATCCATCCAACAACACTCATGGCGAGTGAATAGGATGTAATAGGGCTCCTACTGCCATGGTTGATTGCCGAAATAGTTTTGCAACAGTTGAGAGAATATATAATTAGACAACTTAATCGTAACGTTCGACTGCATCAGGCGGTGCCACTTTTTGTCGAGATAAGTGAACTATTGGTCGAAATCTTTCATTACATCCCGAACGCTGATTCTTGTCCAGTGATTATAAGTGACAACATACCAATCTTCACCTTGGGGGATCAAGTTCCGTGCATTAAAGTCTCACAATGAATGCTTACTGAATTGAAGCTAGTGTGAAAGCGCTGGAAAATATGGTACCAAACATTCCTCCGCATGTCTTCCTCAGTTCCGTTGTTATTGGAACAGCAGTTTAATTACCCTGTTTTATTCAGTCGAATAGGTCTTAGGCGAATTCTGAGGGAAGAAATCAACCGTCGGTTTCGACGACGTCTACTGCGTGCTCCACACCAGGGTTACAGCAGACATGGTGACTTGCCATACTGTCTCTTCCTCCCTCACCTGGATCGGTGTCATGATCAAGTCAAGGAGACTGGAGACGAGGAAGGATGCCGGTGGCGGGCACGGCGTAAACCCGCGCCCAGATGTACCACCACCACCACCACCACCACCACCACCACCACCACCACCGCCGCCGCCACCACCACTACCACAGCCACTACCACTGCACCACCACCACGTCCCCTGGTCCACTACAAACACCTGATTAGGATTTTTCAAAGCAAATGAAAATAACGGTGGCAGGGAATGCACTTCGCGCAGCGAGAGCTTACGACTGGACCTACCAGTCCACTCCGAGTGTTGGCATTTGTTATGAATGCGCACTACCGATAACACCTGCCAGGATAAAATGTGGTCTCCGGGTTGGTCCAGCGACTCTACCATGTGGCCCACTTTTGGAACAGAAGGTCAACAGACAGACAAAGGGCATGGGTGCGACTAGAAAAGTGTTAACGTAATCCCACCCTGAAGGGACACCTGAGGTCCTATGGCAGCATTGCGCACAGGCCTCTGTCATCCCCGAGGGAATCTCTGTTCACATCACAGAGTTAATAGTCAGAAATGAACAAACTTAATTACGTGACGCTTTCCCTGCGCGTTTCGCCACGTTAGCTCGAAAGCGGTGATCATATACACCAACTAGCCATCAAAAGTACAGCAGATTTGCTTGCTAATGAAATGTAAGGCGAAATTATGAGATGCTTTTTGACTCAAGATGAGTATTTAAGTGGGGTTGTAGGATTTATCATCGTGCGACGTTTAGTTAACCATCCTGTTGTATAATACCAGGACATTCAAGTCACATCAGGATACCGGGTTTCGAAACGGCCTCTCATTTACCGAGTGTAAAGTTTTGTCCCGCAAAAATAACTACCTGGGCATTATGGCCGTTTCCCATTAATTTTTTTTGGCCCTGAAAATTTAAATTTATTTTATGAAAAAACGCGCAAAAATATCCGTTTTTTCACTTATTTGATATAAAAATGCGTTTTTGAATCTTATGTCTGAAGAAAGGGCATCTTTTGGTGATAAACAGGTTTTGAATTATAGGATTTTCTAGAACCACGAAATGTGCGACCGTACGGCATCGCATAAGCAGTTTCACTAATGACGCTTATCTAGTGGACAACATATCTACATCCGTTTGAAAATTTTATAAGCTTTGTATGTCTTTTTCATAACAGCATGGTTAAATGTGTGATTTTCCTTACACAAAAAGTATGTAGCTTGTAGTTCGAAAACCCCGGATGCAAGTAAAACGTCAAATTATCCGGGAATTGAGAAAGTTATTTAAAAGCAAAGGATAATTTCCCATCAAGTGTAAAATTTAAAGAAGACGTCGAGTACTACCAAGCAGACTAAAAACGAAAGTTATTGCACGTTTTCTATAAAGTATATTTGAATTTAGGTGTCAAAATCCAATGAGAATAATTGATGCTTCTCAAGTAGGCAATTTTAAAAAGTACAATTTGTACAAGGGACTGACTAGAACCTTATTCAAATGCCAGTACCTTGAGGTGAGTGAAATAGCCTAATATTGTGCGGCACAATAACAAGTATGAGTCGCTATTTAAGTAGTAATTTCGATTTAAAAAGATATTTTTGAATTTTAGCTAACCTTTTGCGAGACAGCAAATCTACTGTGTAAGCTTTCATCAAACACATTTGCTATGTTCAATAAATTGCTCAAAAAACATCTACTCCTGGTATTACCACACGACGAGAACGGTCATCTAAGATCAACAAAATTTTAATGGAAAATCTGGCATCAAAATTAGTACAAAACGTCAGGTTATGCAAAATGCGAAAGTCGAACGACATATAAATCAGTTTTTCAGGGGAATGGACTGTTATTGTAGAAGATTTAAAATTAATTCGCAACAAAATAGAACATTTTAATGCTGACTTTCACATAGTGACCAATATCGATTGCCGGAATGGTCAGTACATGAAGCGATTTCGCCGATATGACATTGCTGTGAATATTGTCTCATGTTCATTATTACTATAGGTAAAATTAATCAAGTGACTCACTTGAGATTGTAGCTAGAGTTATCAGCCAAGTTGTTGTTAAACATAGAGTCAGATAGGTTACACTTCTGGTCCCTTATGGTTCACCGCCTCAATGTCGCATGTTTACATTCTAACTCGGTCCAAAACTTCATATCTTAATTAATCACGAAAGCGCCTGAAATACCGATAGGAAATGTAAAAAATAGCAGCGGTGCGTCGCGCGACGTAATCCAAGGCATTTTTATACGTTAATTCGCTAGCTTGAAAAGAAAAATACCTGCAGTTAGGTTATTATAGTGAACTGAAAAATGCTGCCTGATTGGCTGCCTGTTTTGTAATTAAATTATGCTTTTAAATACATTCGTTTTTCTTGAAAATATGCTAGACTTCCTCCCCCTTTTCTAGCGTTTTAAAAATTTTTATTTTAAATCTATTATCCCACACAAAACGTAGTCAATTAAAGATTTGCGCGAGCATTTGCATAATCTGCATTTTTTCACAGTCATTATAATATCATACTGTTCAATGTCAGTGTGTACCTATCACATTAGTCAAAAAACAAGAGGGCCTCGATACAGGACTCGAAATAATAATAAAATAAAAGCTACTGTTAACACATGTTTCTGCAAAAAAATACCTGTAGAAGTATAATTGCATTGTTTTCAAGGTCACATATACATATTGCATTAGCCAAAATGCTGAAGAACTTCGCGAAAGTAATTAAAATGTTGATGTAAGATACAAAAACTCTGTTCATGTTTCATATGAAATAACTGCGTCTATGAAGACAGAATTATTTTATAAAATATAATCAATTACTTAGTCACTATTTTGCGAGACTTATCAGTGTTAAAAATGGCCATCAATAAAACGACAGACTACTGCATAATTTGGGCCTTCTACCATTATAACCTATTGAATGATCACAGCCAGCCACATGTTTCTTAAAAACTCACCACAAAATGTCAGTCAGTATTTTATGCGTTTTTTGCGGGAACCGCGCTCAAAAACATTCACCTGTGTTTTGGATACACTGGTAAATCTACTATCTTATGGGTCAATATCGACGGACCAATTAATGCAAAAAAGCACCTGTACGAGTTTTCACAGGTTGACAGTCGTGCATCCTTTGTTGAAAATTTCAAAACAACATTTCGTGATTGTTTTCATAAACAGATCTAACAATGCCAAGTTTGGCTTTCTGACGCCGTATGAAACCAACTTTGCACATGTCGAGCCACAAAGTAAAAAAGTAAGATTGTGTTTTCTGTTACGCAAGAATAAGTTCCATAGTAAATTGACGCAGCCATAAATGGCACGACCACAGGACGAAAGGCAGACAATGTTTATTTTTGTACTAGATTAAAGGTGCATCTAGGTCGAAGCATCGACTATGGCTAATGAAAACCACATGATACTATTTTAAAAATCCTGTTCATTTTCCAGATGAGATATCGGTGGCTCCAATCTCTCCAATAAGAAGAACAAACATTTCAGCTGCGGGAGCGTTATAGGTTAATATCTTGGCACATCCGTCGTCTAGTTATTCTTATTGGGAACTGAATTATCTACACAAATGGTAATAGAGAATCAGATTAATACATTGTTCATGTCAAAAGTAGTATTTTTAAAAGTCGCATTGTGATCCTATAGTCCACAGTTTAGCGTTTTTTTAAGTAAGATGCATCCGACAGAAAAACAGGACAATAATATAAGATGACGCTAGATGGAAAAGCATGTCTTCGAAATATTGAATAACAGTGTACGATGATAATGGAAAATATGGGCCGCAGCTGTTTACACTAAAAACCTGGACGCTTTCCATTTTAGAAGGGAAATGCACCTTTAGGTAAAAGCTTCGGCAGATATCGAACATTTCTAACGTCTGCGCTTTAAATTGTTTTTAAGACGCAAGTAGACTGGCGGGGTCGTGAGCTCGGAATCGCACGCGGCTTTCACACTACAGCTTAGTTGATTTATCATTCAGTTTTGCTTTCACGATCTGTTATCTACTCAGTTGCTAAGAGAAGTTTTAAAAATTTATCGGTTCAATTCTATTGAATCTTTCTATTGACTACCCAATTATATCCTACATCTGATACCTTCCCTGATCCCGGTTTACCGAAGAGGTACTGGAGTTTGGATGCTGGCAAATGCAGGCTGACAATCATCATGTGCTAGTAACGCCTGACGTGGACCTGTAAAGTGTTGTATGCGTCCCAAAATACAGTGCTCTTCTGTTGAGGGCAAAAAGCGCCGCTTTGTTAACTAAAGTGTGTAAACGATTCTACCATGATTCACGACCTGCTTGCATGAGGCATCTAGGGATTAAGGCCTCCATCTTTGTATCATGGAACGACAAATTTCAGGCAGCTCTGTATCGACAAAATCGCGCTGACTAATGGAGTCGGACAGTTTTCTTTGGAATTTACTCTCCTGTAAAATCTGTTCTGAAATCATTTTCTTTTTAACAACAAAGATAAACGTTTTATCGCATTTAAATTTATACGGATGCGGATTGCAGGCTACTTGATGTATGTTGAAGTCGTTCCTAAATAATGGTTTGCAGTCTTTTTGGGTATGTTGCCAAATTAATCCAGGAGCATATATTTTATTTCGCATAATGAAATATACGTCTGGCCAAGACGTCAGTGACTAGATTATGCACAAACCAAACAATTGTGCAATTGCTTATTTGTCCAGAAAATAAAGTGATTGTGATTGTGGAACGTCAGATGAAATATGAACTTCAGAATAATCGTCATGTTATCCTGCGTAAATAGACAGCTTTCCTCAGTGCTGGAAAAATTGAGCATACTCTTACCTAGGCAGTGCATGTTTAAGTCCTTATGCCAGAATTGTATTTTGTCAAAGAGTTGGTAGGCAGATCAGGCTATGATTCCTATACGACACATATTCCTGATAAATAATCCTTTTTTGAAAATTTTGTCAACTGTGAAAAACAGGCCTTGCGTCCAGATGTTACCGGTCGATATCGCAAGTCTACATTTAACTGTGCTGAATAGAATTAAGCGCAGTTCTCAGGCCACCACGCACATGCGAAAATTGTCTGTTCGCCTAAACGTTGTGTTAATTTTTGAGGGCTAAATTCCGACCTGCATTTTCTACTCTGCAGGTATTTATCTTAGTCATAAAATCTAAAAATAATTTAGACGTGTTGGTAGATCCAAT